TATTATATAATCATATCACTCCTGTGTCGAATTATACCTGCATATTACAAAGACTTTCAACTAAGATTGTAGGCGGTCTAAACAATTACTTTCATTAAGATTCTGAAACAAGTCTTCACCGCGTATTTACACTTGATATGTAAACTACCAACAATAAATTGAGCATATTTCGCGATTCCATAAAATCCGGTCTGGACGAAGAGATGGCGCGTTAAATTCTGCGAATCTGATGATGCTGATAATAATAGTATTATGTAATATTATTACATAGTAAATTTTACGTGGGCATCTAATGAAATCCCAGAAATGTAGCTGATAATTGGCTCACGTACTGAATGGCAGCATCGAAGAATTAATTCTGCTTTTATTATTATTAATTATTATTATTCTATGATTATTACATTGCTTTGCGCTCTTCAGCAGGTAAATGCTAATAATTAATTATTATTAACGCACTTGTATTGAAACACATCCAAGAATATACATATATATATGTACTTTTATCTATATAAGTCTTGTATAACTTGAGCTCCTGGAATTCACTATTACTTACTTTTGTTTGTAAACAATACCAAAATGACAGTATAACATAAATGTAGTTGCATGTACAAACTGATATGTATGTATACACCCAGTAGGGAAAGATACTAGTTGTTGACTGGAATCGAACTAGTTTGAATTTTCCCGCTAATTTGTACACCTTCCATCTATTTCCCATCTAAGCAACTGATGTTTTTTGCTTCCAATTAATATGAGCATGTGACTACCAAACCCGTGAAGCGTTTGCCAACCAGAGCTCTATGCAGACGTGGAAGCAGCTCGGCTCAAATCTTCGATAGCAGGGCAATCAGTTACGGTATATTTCGACAGTCAAACTGCCATCAGATCTGTACAATGTACCAATACCAGATCAAAAATGTAGAAGCAACCTGACCATAGTCTCCACTAAGTAGAACACTGAAGTGATCTGGGTAGCCGGACACAGTGACATCCTAGGCAAAAAGCATGCCACACAGACTGGCGAGAGACGGAACCCTTCTAACCACAATAAAACATGCACACGATGTAGGTTCTCTATTGTCCACTGCAAGGAATGTATTCAATATTCAATATATGCTTCAACGGGCCTTTCCCTAGAAAGCAGACTCAAGATGGCTGAATGAAAACACGTGTAATATGACCAGTCACCATAGGCCTAAATTGGAAGTGCAAAAATGAAAATATCTTATTCGACTAAAACGGTTATTCATTAACATAATAACAGGCGTCATAAAAGGCCACTGTTTAATGGAGCTTCACGGAATAAGTATGAGTTACCACTCTAACGCTTTTCGCTGCACCTGTAGGGACAAAGAAGAGAAGGCGTCAATTGAGCCTCTTTTACTGTCCAGCCTTGAACTTTGCGCGACACTAATTTCTCGGGAAAGACTTCTAGAACTGTCTCAGCGAAAATTGGAAATCTCTTTGCTTTATAAGGCACAAGAAATGGTTCAAGCCTTTGAAAAGGTGTAGACGAAAGTCTCACTGCGGTATCACAATAACTGTATTAGCCTAAATGCGCTGGCAATAACCTGCAACTGTATCAACTCAACTCAACTGGTATTTTTAGCCGGGCGATGTCCCACGAGCTTTCGATTGTCCAAATATACAACAGCTTTATACTAGCCGTATACTAGTTCATTTAGGCATGAAACCAAAAAATAAGAAAAAAAATAGAATAAAATTAAAAATTGGTTTGCCTATAGCGAGATTACTGGTATTCTACTAGTCTAACTTCTTCCTGCAGGACATATGCACATATGCACAGTAAAGGCGAATATTACATACACATATCGTAAGTTTGTTTATTTTACGCGGAAAAGTAATCAAGCAAGTAGTTAACTTATGAAATGTACACTGAAGATTTGTGATTAATTGCAAAGACAACTACAAAATGAATGCAAGTAACCAGATGTTAGGCAAATGGACAACAACACTCACAAAGTCCGTTAAAGTACACGCACACACATAAGCTGCCGCCAGAGACATAAATTGAATGAAATACATGCATGTGAGCGAGCCCGAAGGTGGGGAGGGGCGAACGAGCAGTTTAATTGAATTTTGATTGGTACATCCATTCGCATACTGGCAGAGCGAATAATCTCGAAAAGTAACTGTTATGTCTGAGTATTGTTGTTGCGCATATAGACAAACGTGCATATGTATAAGCCTACATTTGTAGCAACAGATAGCGACTAGACCAATGCGGCAGATAAACAAGCGGGTGGATATTCACACACACATGTCTACGCAAATATACCCAGAGGTGAAGTAACCAACTGGACACATTTTTACTAGTTAGATACCATGTTGAAATTAAACTAGTCCGGAAAAAACCGAACTGGTGAACTGAAAAGAATATTCAGCAATACGGTCAGACTAGAGGAGTGATAAGTAGTGCATACCGTCATGCGTAGTCATTGTTTGTACTCGAAGCTGAAAATGTAGAACCCAGGGTATATCACGCTCTCCCCCTGTGTATTTCTTACCCGATAAAAAAGGTGCTTCATTAAAGTCCATCAGCTGTCCATCAAACTGTAGATCCCTCAATTTTTTGGAAAAATATTTAGACGCATGTGAAGTTCAGGAAGAGGTCGACAGGAAGTTGCTACAGCAGTAAAAAATGGCCAATTTACAATACATATAAAAATAAAAACTCATCAAGCTTTAAAAGAAAGATCGCAAATACTTATCAACTACAATATTATATACATAAGTTTGGAAGCGGTTTTCGGCCGAGCTCATATTCCAATTTATGTGTCTGTGTCTTGTCTTGTCTATCTATCTTGTCTTGTCTTGTTATTCTTCTTACAAATGAAGGGAGGAACTCAGCCGAAAAACGCTTCAGCGGTTACAAAGCGCCAATTATATATTATATGTATATAATGGAGGTTGCAAGTTATCATGTGCTGCCCCCCTAACGGCTGTTGAGGTTTTACCTTTCCTTCCGAGCCAGAAACAAATTCGAAGGGGTGGGTTGAAGGCAGCTATTGGATGAAGTTTTCCGATTTTGATGTTGCTTACATATACGTGCGTAGAATACTAAGTTTCATGCTTGCAGATGGGTTTCTGACAGATTTTCAACCCAAAAATCATATCTAAACAAATCGGTTGTATGGGGGCTTTATGATATAGTACTCCAATATGAATGATTTTCGATAGCAATATTTATTTCTTGAAAAGAATATAGAACACCAAATTTCATAACCGTAGATACTTCTTTGACCAAGTTTTGACCAAGCCTCACATCTGAAAAAATCGCTGTACCGAAGCTCTATGTTATGGTCATCCAATTTCGATCTTTTACAGCACCACTTGGCAATTCATAGTTTATGTGCTGAATACCAAAGCTTTCAAATACTTTTTTGACAAATTTATTACCTGAAATCTCAAAGCTGAAAAAGTGTTAGTATAAATAGTGCATCGGCGTACCAAGTTTGGTTGAAATATCTCAAAAACTGAAGGACTATTTACTGGCGTAGACACCGCTTTCGTGATTTTAGCGGATTTAACAACATTGCGCCATTCGATTCTTCTTTTTGCTGTTTGGCGCCAATTGAAAATACCAAGTGCAGCCAGGTCCTTCTCTACCTGGTCTTTCCAACGGTGTGGAGGTCTTCCTCTTCCTCTGCTTCCACCGGCGGGAAATGCATCGAAAACTTTCCAGCCGGACAACACGGCCTAGCTTCTTGATTCGTTGATTCAATGTCGCCGTATAACTCGTACTGCTCATCGTTTCATTGTCTGCGGTATTGGCCGTTGCCAATGCGCAAAGGACCATAAACCTTACTCAAAACCTTTCTCTCGAAAACTGAGGGACAAGGCTGCTTATAAAATATACGGGCAGACGGATGTAGCTAAATCAACTCAACACGCCTTTCTGTTCCAATCGGTATATATTTTCATTGGCTTATCCCGTCTCCTTTTGCTACTTTCATTCACATGAAAGACATACAAATTAAATTTCTATAATTTTGGATGTTGGTCGGGCCGGAATTTGGACTCTGGTCTTCCGTATGGTAGTAACCTGCTAACCAAACGGCTATTCAGATCGCCCACTAGCATATTATTATTTTACTGCAGTGAATTTTCATTTATTTTTAAGTTAATAAACTGCTTAGTTGGTACATTTTTAACTGGTATAAAACTAGTATGTTACTAACCGATGTCTGATAATTCTCATTTACTGAGATATATATATTCGAATTAAAAACATGAAGATAATGAATTGCTTGGAAGTGCTCGACATACCAGTTTCGAAGTAGTATTTAACTGGTTCACTTAACTGTAAAGTTTAATCTTTTCGGCTACTTGTGTACATTTAATTTCACAAAAGTGTACATTTGTTTGTATTGGCTTTTCCAATTAATTCCATAAAGCTGCTACTGTTGCTGCTGCTGGTGTTGTTGTTACTCATCTTCATTCTATCGCTTTAGCTTTGCTATCTCTTACTTGTTTGTTTGTTTTCCTATCAATCGCCTTGAACAATTGTTTTCTTGCCTTTTGTTTTTGCTGTACGTACGTTCGGTGATATTATTATTGTTGTCATTGAGCAACGGTGATTGATTTCATTAAATGACCATTTCGAGTTGCGGCATTTTTTTTTTCACCTTCATCAAACAAACGAATTTCAAGTGAATAACAGGATAACAGCAAGGATAATGCCACCCCGCATGAGATTATATGTATGCGTGTGTGTGTATGAGTGTGCAATGCAGACAGTTGTAAGGTGGCACGAATGATTGATGGTTGCAAATGTGCCCAAATGCCATTCAAAATGTTAATTGTTTCGTTTATGTGATTTGCAACGATTTCAGCAATTTTTTTTATTACTTTATTATATTTTTTTTTTGTTTTTTTTTTTTGCATATTGGATTTACAAACGAAATTGTTATATTTCCTTTTTTCACAATTCTCACTTATTTCTCATCATACTCTCCTTCTTGTCGGCTTTTTTGCAGCTCACGATCTCAATGACATGGATCACGATGACATGTGTGATGATGGCATGAGCAGTGACATTGATGACCATGCCAGCGAAACGGATTCGAAGAAGGGTGGCAGTCGCAACGGTGATGGCAAGTCGCAGGGCGGCAGTGGTGGCGGGTCGAAGCCACGTCGCGCCCGTACCGCTTTCACATATGAGCAACTCGTGTCGCTGGAGAATAAATTTAAAACAACTCGTTATTTGAGCGTTTGCGAGAGACTGAATTTGGCGTTGAGTCTGAGTCTGACGGAAACACAGGTGGGTACTAGTAATATAAAAGAAATTATTTAAGAGTTTTTAACACATAACAGCTGCTAGGAAAGCATAATTTGAGAAGGTTAACTTTATTTATATTTATTTATATATTTTTTTTACTTAAGTGATTTCAAAATAATTAGCCTTAAAGTGCTTCCCCCGCATTTCATGAAAAAAAATTCAGATCAAATGCAAGGACATGATTTTTAAAGCCAACCGGCTTTACACGCTCCATTTCAAATTTATTTACCTAACTAATGGCAACCCTTCTTGACAAGAGCCTCAATACCAGCTCCGATATGAGTAATTCTCATAAAATCCGATAACCTTCTTTCCAATGTTACCTGTTGACCTAAACGGAGTTAGGTGGCCAATTGTGTGACAACCCCTGGGCAGAAATAATCCGATGCGTAGAACCGGTTGTCGTGTGACTCGCGTCAAACGTAATTCTTACACGAAATTTTAACTTTTGGTTGTAGCAATCAAGCATACAGGACGTTATGAATTGATTGGACCTATACGGAGCTACTGGAACTCCAAAATTGGTTTCCTGCCCTTCATGCTCCGCTTTGAGATCTTTTACGCTATTCCTACTATTAGATAAGATTAGGTAGAGTTCATACTGGGTTGAAAGATACTTGGTCGTTACTGCCGAGCAGAATGTAGGCAGCATATTGTGTTTAGGGATATGCGATCATTCAAGCTTATGCTGCTTCTAGCAAACTTCCATAGGACGAGTTAAATTGGCATGCATAGCAGTGGCTCCTTAGCTCTTTTGACCGTTGAATCCTACACACTTTTCCTCTTGTTCACTAACAGTCCAAATGCAACATATCGAAAACCAAATCAACCAACATTGTTGTTTTATTTACTTTTTATGACTAATGTATGCATATTCCTTGCCTGTAATTAAAGTTTTAATTTCTTTTTATTCAGGTAAAAATCTGGTTCCAAAATCGACGCACCAAATGGAAGAAACAAAATCCCGGCATGGACGTGAATAGCCCGACGATACCACCACCAGCAGGTGCCGGCTTCGGTCCAGGCGCCTACGCTAGCAGTCTACTCTATTCACACGCTGTGCCCTATCCACCCTACGGCCCATATTTCCATCCATTGGGCGCACATCATCTCAGCCATTCTCATTCATAAAATTGCAAGATGCAACAGAGACTGTTGCAAATATTAGAAATGCGAAAATATCAAAAACGTGAGGATCATACCAAAATGAGCGGCGGCGGTGAGGGGCGGCTGGAGAAATAAATAAAAGAAGAACGTCGAAGAGAGTAAATATGGCAGGCTTTGTGTGGCGTATTTTCCAAGTTAAATGCAATATTCGAATAATTTTTGTAAGCACTGTTGCTGCTGCGAAATTTCCAGATTAAAAGCCAAGTTCCCGTTGTCAATTAAAAACTTTGCGGATTCTAGAATTGTAAATATGTATAAACTTCATTCTCTATGTATGTCATAAGCATATATTTTATCGTCTTTAGTAAATTAGAGCCATAAATATTACAAATGTAAATAAAAAAATGGAAGATTAAATAATTTCATTAAGTCAGTTGTATATATGTAATTAAAATAAGTAGATTTTTAAGTAAATATAGTTTATATTGTAGATATATAAAATCGTAGCTTAAGTAGGTTACTGCGTGAGATTCTGCTTTTCATCCTTAGGCTTGCGAAATCAATACAAATGTATAAAATATTAATATGGATGAGTTCCAAAAAAAAAAAAACTAAGCCAAAGAAATCAAAATTATGATTATAAATAATGAAAATAAAAATAAATAATGTCAAAATGATTTGATCCGAGTTTTTTGTCTAATGGGATGTAGTCCTGCTTCTGGATAGGCTGATACAGTTGCGCGACTGTTCCCAGTTTCTACTTATGGGAGGGAGTAACTATTCACCAAACCAGTGACTATGAACCAGCATTGGTCTCGAGGCAATAAATTGACCGTTGCCCGCAGTGCAGTGCATGAAACTCTTCATGTGGAAATCACGTCAATAAAAAAATGTATAATTTCACAGATCAGAGACCCCAGTTTTAATGATGATCGCTGCAAAAGTTTTACCACCACGAATTAAGGGCATGCGGCTAAAATGTGCGGCCTCTTATTCGGTTTGGTGCCGCTTTCCACTTAGTTGTTGGTCCTGCAGGTCTAAAGGCGATTAAAACCTCCCTCCCTTAATAATTGCGATAGGCGCGACATTAATGTAGTTGACAAACTCCTTGGGGAATATACTGCAATGACCATTTAAAAGAACATCATTCTCTGTGGCTGACTACTTACAGGGTTAGTTGTTAGCATTAGGCACGGAAAACCAGGGTTTGAACTCCGGTCCGAACAACATCCAAAGTTATATAAAACAAATGTTTCTTATTCCATTCCCTCCTCGGCAGGGAATATCAAGCCCGAGTGTTTTTCTGACATGAAATAAAGAACTCCTCGAAAAAACAAAAAATCGGCCGTTTGGAGACGGCACAACATTAGATGCACATCTAACCATAGTTCGTTCGCCCACGGCCCTACGTCATACGATGAGGATGTGAGCAAAATGAACCTCTTATTAGCGCTACCCCAACTACGATGTCAAAATTGTGATTGGCACTTTAACACCTGGATGGGCAAAAAGGCACTCTTTGCCGCCATTTTCTGGAAAGTCAGATACATGACATACCATCCGCCCAAAGAAAAAAATTCATCGTCGAAAAACTCCAATCACAACAAACAGTATGCTAAGCGGATTTCACTTGTACTCTAAGGAAGTAATGCTTCTCGGCAAAGTCAAAAGAAGAACTGATGCGATGAAGATTACGATGAAGCAGACGAGAGACACCGTGATTTGAAAACGGAAAGGAGATAAAAAATATTGGGAGACCGAAAAGCAGGAGTTAGAAGAGGTTGGGAAACGAATGAAGTATAAATAGCGGTTGTCCGTCTGAAGAACAATAAAGCGTGGCGTGGGCCAATGGAATGCCAGCTGAGCTGTTCTGATAAGAGAGCAAAGCACTGAGAATGTAAATGTATCAACTTCTTTGCTGAATGTAGTCGGATGAATGCCAACCCGACGAATGAAAACTGAGCGTGCTGTGCCCAACGCAAAAAGCGGGACCCAAAATTCAGAGCAATTATTGTGGGTTAAGCCTCCTTGGCGGCCGCGGTAGCCCAGTGGTTAGCATGGCGTACTGCCATTCGGAAGGCTCGGGCTCAAATCCACTCATAACAAACCAACAGCCGTTCGGAGGCGGTTTAGTATAAACTGTAGGTCCCTCTATTTGTATAAAAAACATCAAGACGCAAAACCACAAATTGGAGGAAGAGCTCGGCCGAAAAATCGCTTCAGTGGTTACAAAGTGCCATTTATATATGTATATATATAAGTCTCCTTAATATCGCGCATATATATTATGCACCTTATCAGTGTGACTTCGGATATTCCAATTCTCAGAAAGCAGGAGGGCAAGACGAATAAAAAAATATTCGGCTGTCTAACGTGATTGCAGCTTTTCGAACCTTCTTTGTGTTTTCTCGGATCATATTCTTTGCTGCACAGAGCAGGGCGCGGATATGTTCTGCTACAAGAAGGAGATCCGAGTCGATGTAAGGTGCTTGGAGCGTACGCATAACATTGCAAAGTTTGCATTCGAAAATTTCAGACCGATATTAAATATAAAAGAAACTCCCCGCGCCGAAGGTAGTTGGTCACTTCGGGGTAGATATTGAAGCAAAACACATTGGCACGGTAAGCCGCCACCACCTTTGCGCCGGGTTCTCTACTTTGTGGCAGTCACAAAAAATAGGAAGAGCGGTGTAGAGTAAAGTGTGCAAATTGTGTGACAACAGAAATAAGTCAAGTGAAAAATTTTAAATTTAGTCCTCATTGCGTCAACAAAAACATTCAATTATGTGAAAGTGAACGGAATTTCTTAATCCGATTTGTGATGCAGTCGCAGCCACAGCAGCAGCCATAAACAAACGCGCGCATGAGTGAGGCAGGGCGCAGGCTGCAGGAGTCAGAAGCGGAACGGAAGGCCAATAGAGCACAAATGGAAATGCAAAGTTGCAAGTAATAAATAGTATTGTCATTGTGTAAATATGTATTTGTATGTGCGTGAGTACGAGTGTACACATCACAGAAGCGAGTATTGAGGCTCAGAGGCAATGCCACATGATTTTTTGCTAGGATTTTTCTGCTTGAAACAACTTAGCTTTTATTGCGTTTTGATTATGTAAATACCTACCACTATGTAACGGACTCTTTGTTCACTTCTATGTGTGTAAACACAGAAGGACAACAGTTTTAGGGAGACACGCGTCAACTTGGCTTGGATATGCATTGTTGTTGTCGACACTGTCATAAACAGTACAAAGTGAATGTTAAGATGCATGATGTATGTGTGCATATACATATGTATGTATGAATGAAGTAATCCATCACACAGACAACAAATGGAAACATAGAAAAAAGCATTTGTTGTTGTAAGAGGTGTTGAAAATCCGCCGTTTGTCTCTACGGTGTATCAAGTTCGCTGCAACTCAGACACATTTCGTCGCAATGGGATTTCCAAATATTAAATATACAAACACACTCGCATATATGTATGTATGTATGTGTATAGTGCATCAACCACATTGCCACAGTGTCACGCTACAACTGGGTAACTTAAATCCGCATATCCATTTCATAAATCTCATCAAAGTCTGAACTTTGTTTTTCAGCGCGCGATTTTTGGGCGGATTTGCTCTGTCGGTTTGAGTTGGTTGCTATGCGTCGCTCGCGATTATTATCAGCGCACTCAGACGTTAAACAGAAAAGACAATAAAAAACAATTTGAAGGATAAATAAAATGAAATGGAAAAATGCCGTGACGCTCTGCGTCTCGAGCTGAGCCCATCACTTTGGTGGCGATCAGATGAAATTTTACCAACAAAAATTCAAAATTCTCTCCGAATCGTATATACTGGTATGTGTGTAGGCGTGTATCAATAGTCGAAGTCGCGGCCAACAAAAGGCATAACAATAACGGAAATTTGTAAATGCAACAACTCAAAGCAGCAGTGACGATAACAACAACAACAGCGATAACACCGCCAACGGCGAGACATCAACACTCATCATTTGTCGAAAATTGAATTTTCTCGTTGCAGAATTTATTTGCATATTAATTTTAAAAAATGTAATATAACCACATAGATACATATGTATGAGCAAAGGTGTGCATATGTGTATGTACGTGTGCGTGGTTCGTGGTGTGGTTGTATTTAAAAGCACTTCAAGCGGTTATCAGCTGAGCACAACCACGCATTACACTAACACACAAGCAACTGAACACTCAACGAAAAATGGTCGTGCACACTCACACCCACACACCCGCCCATAGGTATACTTCAATTTCATGTGTGTGCACAAACTGATTAAGTGTGTGAGTGTCTGCACGTTCGTTCATGTCCATTTTAAAAATTCATTAAAATCGTACTTTTCATTTGTTTTATATATTCTTTTACTTAAGCACTTTACAATTAGTAACACAAATCCTTTTTACTTGGTCTCTCATATACATTCACAGGTGTATGTATATGTGTACATCACACAACGCCTTTTGATGTGCGTAAGTCGGTATTTGTCATATATACTTCTTCTTCTCCTTTTACAGGCATAGACACCACCTACGAAATTATAGTCGTGCCTCACATTCCTCCCTTTCGCTGTTTGACGTCAATTGAAAATACCAAGTACAGCCTTCTCCGCATCTTCCTCTACCTCCATCGAGGGGATTTGCATCGAAAACTTTTTAAGCTGGAGTCTTCCCAACCATCTGGGCCATATCACCTAGCCAGCGTAGCCGCAGTCTCTTGATTCGCAGAACTATGTCAATGTCGACGGATATCTCGTACAGCTCATCTTTCATCGACTACGATATTCGCCGTTACCAACTCGTAGAGGATCATAAATCTTACGCAAAACCTTTCTCACGAAAACTTCTAACGCCGACTGATGAGCTATTGTCAACGTGCATACCTACGCACTACATAGCAGAACGAGAACGATGAGCGACTTGTAGAGTTTGGTCTTCGCCCGTCCAGAGTGGACTTTACTTTTCAATTGCTCACTCAGTCCAACGTAGAACCTCTTGGATTTCTCGGCTATTATAGTTGTTGGTGTTAATACTGGTCCCAAGATGAAGATGAAGTTATCTGTTGGAAGGATTTTTCGTCTTGTACTTGTTCACTTCCAGACCCATACATCTGGCTTTCTTATCCCGTTCGGAGTAAACCGAACACA